GTAGGAGAACTCATAAACTGACTCATAATACTGACTGGATAAGCTATGTCTGGCCTTGTAACCGTAAGATAATTCAGCTTCCCTACTAATCTCCTATACTTCTCAGGATCTTTCCACAACTCTCCTTCCTTTGTAAGTTATAAATTAGGTATCATTGGAGTATTACGCGGCTTAGCAGCTAACTTTCCTGTTTCAGTTAACAAGTCAAGTACATACTTTCTTTGTAACAAAAGGATCCCCTTCTTGCTCCTTGTTACTTCAATTCCTAAGAAATATTTCAACATTCCCAAATCTTTAGTATGAAATTGACCATGAAGAAAAGACTTGAGTGATAAGATGCCTGATGAATCATTACCAGTAATCACAATATCATCAACATATACAACTAGTAAGATAACGTCAGACTCAGATCTTTTATAAAAAACAGAATGATCTGACTTACTCTTCTTCATTCCAAAATTCCCAATCACCTGACTGAATTTTCCAAACCATGGTCGCGGACTTTGTCTCAACCCATATAAGGATTTACGAAGGCGACATATCTTTCCATTCTTCCCTGAGCAACAAAACCTGGTTGTTGCTCTATATAAACTTCTTCTTGAAGATCACCATGGAGGAATGCATTTTTAATATCAAGCTGATGCAAGGGCCAATGGTGAATAGATGCCAATGAAATGAATAACCTGACAGAAGCCAATTTAGAAACTGGAGAAAAAGTATCAGAATAATCAATTCCGTAAGTCTGCGCATATCCTTTAGCAACAAGGCGAGCTTTCAAACGGGCAATTGATCCATCTAGATGAACTTTAACAGCAAACATCCATTTACAACCGATAGGTTTCTTTCCTGCAGGAAGGGACACTAAATCCCAAGTACCATTGTCATCTAAGGCAGTCATCTCCTCCAACATAGCAGCCCGCCAACCAGGATGAGACAAAGCTTCATGAACAGTTGTAGGAATAGATACAGATTCAAGGGATGCAATAAACGAACAAGTAGATGATGATAAATGGTTATTTGAAACAAAAGAAGAAACAGGATAAGTACACTTACGCTTACCTTTTCGAAGGGCAATAGGAAGGTCATCACTTGTTCCTGGATCCACAGGCAAAGAAGCTTCTGGTATAGGACATGAGTCCGTAGGAGGTTGCCGACGAGAATAAACTTGAGTAATAGTGGGGAGAGAAGGATCGAGCGCAGAGGGAGATGGATTGCTAGGAAGTTCTTCAGTAGAAGTAGAGACAATAGAATAGACAAGAAATGTATCATCTTCCTGTGACTGCTCCCCCATATATACTCTAACAGGTTTCTTTTGTTTCTCTTTTCATTCTTCTCAATGAAAGTATCGTTTCTTATTGAAAAAAAAAATAGATAGGTCATGCTCTTCAAAATCTGCCAAGCGAAGTCAATTATAACTTTTCCTGGTTGGTTTGATGATGTTAGGGCTGGTTTTTTGGTTTTCTTCTGGTTCTGTTTTCTTTTTGGGACTGTTGTACCTTACTTACGTGTTTTGTTAATTGATAATCTAATGTAATGGAAAAAATACCAGGTTCGCAACAAGGTGTCTGGAAAAATTTTTGTGGTTGCTAAATCTCGATTGTCAGCTCTACCTGTTGAAAAACCAAAAGTGAATGCACCAAATGGTTCTACTAATGTTTCTAAAAAATCAAATCCTAAGACAAAGGGATCCTCAAATTCGAAAACAGAAAACCCAGTGGAGGACTCATTTGAGGTATTGGAGGAAGTGTTGGGAGCTTCTCTGGTGGGTAAAAAGTAAGCAATTTCATTAATATTAATATGTTTCTAGATGATTTTAGCAAAGCTGCTATACTTTTTTCGTTTCCTGCATGTTAATGAAATTGTAGCCACTATAGCGTTGAAGGATTTAAAAAAAATATTTTTTTTCTGCAGATACAAGCCATTGTTTGATTACTTTAAAGAGTTTTCCGATGTGGCATTTAGAGTTGTTGCGGATAGTTATGTCACTGATGATAGTGGTACGGGTATTGTTCATTGTGCTCCTGCATTTGGTGAAGATGATTATCGCGTTTGCATTGAGAACCAAGTAATCAATAAGGTTTGTGTTTATTATTAGTAAGTGTTGTATGACTCCACATTACATGATTGCTGATGACCATTAAAGTATCGATGGATTACTTGATGTAATTAGCATTTTGAAGGTCAACCAAGCTAAGTCTCCCATTTTGTTTGTGTTTTAACATTTTTTATTTTTGAACAAAAAAAAATGAAACTTTTCATGGATGTAATGAAAAGTGTTCAAGGATACCATCTCTCAAAAGGGAGAAATGGAGAAATTAAAAAACAAAGCAACAAACCATAGGGGAAAACAAATGCTTCCCAATTACAATAAATATCATTGAGAGAATAATGATTAAGAAGTAAGATTTGGAGCTCCAATGAGACAATTTAATTTTGGCTAAGTAAAAAATCGCTCTCTCCAAGCAAGAGATTTGTCTTTAAAAATCCTCAAATTACGTGCATGCCAAATTTGGGTTCATGGACATAAAAGTTGTCCCAACTGTCATGAATGGAACAATTCTGTTTAGTAATTACACCAAAAAGGCAAGAAAATTTACTTCTTAAAGAGGATTTAGTGAATTACCCAACCACACATCATTCCAGAAGTAAATTCGCCTTTCAGTTTCCACTCTGAAAAAGGTATGCTTAATTTACTGATTTCCACAACTTTGATATAGCAAACCAAAAACTTTTATAAAGACATTTTAAT